ACCGCATAACAACATACGTTGTTCCCTTTGTCATCGGTATGTTACTTGCCCGAGATTCGATCGTCGGTATCTCAATACCTAGTTCAATATCGTTACCAGCAAGTCTCTTTACTCGTTCCATAATGCATCATCCCGCAACTAACTCATTAGCTGCAATGCTTGCAAGGCTTATAGTGATGTGCATTACCGAGTGGGCCCAGAGATACCTCTCCGACAATCGGAGTGACAAATCCTAATCTCGAAATACGCCAACCCAACAAGTACCTTCGGAGACACCTGTAGAGCACCTTTATAATCACCCAGTTACGTTGTGATGTTTGGTAGCACACAAAGTGTTCCTCCGGTAAACGGGAGTTGCATAATCTCATAGTCATAGGAACATGTATAAGTCATGAAGAAAGCAATAGCAGAATACTAAACGATCAAGTGCTAAGCTAACGGAATGGGTCAAGTCAATCACATTATTCTCCTAATGATGTGATTCCGTTAATCAAATGACAACTCATGTATATGGCTAGGAAACATAACCATCTTTGATCAACGAGCTAGTCAAGTAGAGGCATACTAGTGACACTCTGTTTGTCTATGTATTCACACAAGTATTATGTTTCCGGTTAATACAATTCTAGCATGAATAATAAACATTTATCATGAAATAAGGAAATAAATAATAACTTTATTATTGCCTCTAGGGCATATTTTCTTCACTTATGTATAGGGGTTGGCACACGTTTTCGTCTTGGCTCTCTGGTAGAAACTTTGGGGCACTCTTTGAAATTCTTTGTGTTGGTTTGAATAGATGAATCTAAGATTGTGTGATGCATATCGTATAATCAAACCCGCGGATACTTACGGTGACATTGGTGTATCTATGTGACATTAGGGTTTTCGTTGATGTGTATTTTAAGGTGTTATTTTAGTACGAACTCTAGGGTTGTTTGTGATATTTATAGGAATAGCCCAATAGATTAATCAGAAAGAATAACTTTGAGGTGGTTTCGTACCTTACAATAATCTCTTCGTTTATTCTCCGCTATTAGTGGCTTTGGAGTGAGTTTTTATTGCACGTTTAGGGTTGTTATATGATTTAATTATGTTATCATTGTTGAGAGAACTTGCACTAGTGAAAGTATAACCCTAGGCCTTGTTTCCAAGCATTGCAATACCGTTTTCGCTCACTTTTATTACTTGCTACCTTGCTATTTTTATATTTTCAGATTACAAAAACCTATATCTCCTATCCATATTGCACTTTTATCACCATCTCTTTGCCGAACTAGTGCATCTATACAATTTACCATTGTATTGGGTGTGTTGGGGACACAATGGACTCTTTGTTATTTGGTTGCAGGATTGTTTGAAAGAGACCATCTTCATCCTACGCCTTCCACGGATTGATAAACTTTAGGCCATCCACTTAAGGGAAAAATTTGCTACTGTCCTACAAAACTCTGCGCTTGGAGGCCCAACACGAGTCTATAAGAAGAAGATTACGTAGTAGACATCACCTGCTCACTTGGAGAAGCACACATGAGAAAGAAACACCGCGGCCATACGGATGGTATCACACACACTCTCTCTGCTTGTTTTCCCATGTTAGTATTCATCCCAATCCTACATGTACATTCGGATCCGACCGGTTATCCGTAGTATCCTATGATCGGATGACCCATATGAACAACGGCCTTCGGTGTTTTTGTTGCCTGCTCACTTGGAGAAGCACACATGAGAAAGAAACACCGCGACCACACGGATGATATCACACACACACACTCTGTTTGTTTTCCCACGTTAGTATTCGGCCCAATCCTACATGTACATTCGGATCCGACCGGTTATCCGCAGTATCCCATGATCGGACGAGGACGACCTAGATCAGCGGCGGCCTTCGATGTTTTTGTTGCTTGCTCACCTGGAGAAGCGCACACGAGAAAGAAACAGCACGACCAGATGGTATCACACACACACACACTCTATGTTTGCTTTCCCACGTTAGTATTCGACCCATTCCTACATGTACATTCGGATCCGACCGGTTATCCGCAGTATCTAATGATCGGACGACCCAGATCAACGGCGGCGTTCGGTGTTTTTGTTGTCTACTCACTTGGAGAAGCACACATCAGAAAGAAACACCGCGGCCACACGAATGGTATCACACACGCTCTCTCTGTTTGTTTTACCATGTTAGTATTTCGGCACAATCCTACATGTACATTCGGATCCGACCGGTTATCCGCAGTATCCCATGATTGGACGGCCCAACGGCGGCCTTCGGTGTTTTTGTTGCCTGCTCACTTGAAGAAGCACACATGAGAAAAAAACACTGCGACCACACGGATGATATCACACCTACACTCTGTTTGCTTTCCAACGTTAGTATTCGGCCCCAATCCTACATGTACATTCGGATCTGACCGATTATCCGCAATATCTCATAATCAGACCACCCATATCAGCGGCGGCCTTTGGTGTTTTTGTTGTTTGCTCACTTACAGAAGCACACAGGAGAAAGAAACACTGCAGCCACACGGATGGTATCACACGCACACACACACACACTCTCTGTTTGTTTTCTCACGTTAGTATTTGGCCCAATCCTACATGTACATTTAGATCCGACTGATTATCCGCAGTATCCCATGACTGGATGACCTAGATCAGCGGCGACCTTCTGTATTTTTGTTGATTGCTCACTTGGAGAAGCACACAAGAAAAATACACCGCGGCCACATATGATATCACACACACATACACACACACTCTGTTTGTTTTCCAACGTTAGTATTCGGCCCCAACCCTACATGTACATTCGAATCTGACCGATTATTCGCAGTATCTCATAATCGGACGACCCAGATCAGCGGCGGCCTTCGATGTTTTTGTTGCTTGCTCACTTGGAGAAGCGCACACGAGATAGAAATAACACGACCAGATGGTATCACACACACACACTCTATGTTTGCTTTCCCACGTTAGTATTCGACCCATTCCTACATGTACATTCGGATCCGACCGGTTATCCGCAGTATCTAATGATCGGACGACCCAGATCAACGGCGGCGTTCGGTGTTTTTGTTGTCTGCTCACTTGGAGAAGCACACATCAGAAAGAAACACCGCGGCCACACGAATGGTATCACACACGCTCTCTCTGTTTGTTTTACCATGTTAGTATTTCGGCACAATCCTACATGTACATTCGGATCCGACCAGTTATCCGCAGTATCCCATGATTGGACGGCCCAGCGGCGGCCTTCGGTGTTTTTGTTGCCTGCTCACTTGAAGAAGCACACATGAGAAAAAAACACTGCGACCACACGGATGATATCACACCTACACTCTGTTTGCTTTTCAACGTTAGTATTCGGCCCCAATCCTACATGTACATTCGGATCTGACCGATTATCCGCAATATCTCATAATCAGACCACCCATATCAGCGGCGGCCTTTGGTGTTTTTGTTGTTTGCTCACTTACAGAAGCACACAGGAGAAAGAAACACTGCAGCCACACGGATGGTATCACACGCACACACACACACTCTCTGTTTGTTTTCTCACGTTAGTATTTGGCCCAATCCTACATGTACATTTAGATCCGACTGATTATCCGCAGTATCCCATGACTGGATGACCTAGATCAGCGGCGACCTTCTGTATTTTTGTTGATTGCTCACTTGGAGAAGCACACAAGAAAAATACACCGCGGCCACATATGATATCACACACACATACACACACACTCTGTTTGTTTTCCAGTATTCGGCCCCAATCCTACATGTACATTCGAATCTGACCGATTATCCGCAGTATCTCATAATCGGACGACCCAGATCAGCGGCGGCCTTTGGTGTTTTTGTTGTTTGCTCACTTGGAGAAGCACACAGGAGAAAGAAACACTGCAGCCACACGGATGGTATCACACACACACTCTCTGTTTGTTTTCCCACGTTAGTATTTGGCCCAATCCTACATGTACATTTAGATCCGACCGATTATCCGCAGTATCCCACGGTCTAGATCAGCGGCGACCTTCTGTGTTTTTGTTGCTTGCTCACTTGGAGAAGCACACAAGAAAAAAACACCACGCCCACAAATGATATCACACACACAGACACACACACACACACGAAAAAAGCACGGTGGCCAAGGATGGTCCCACAGTACAGACACACACTCTTCGTCCTTCTGTTGTGTTTTTCCACGGTAGTATTCGGTCTGATACCACTTTTAGATCGAGATCCGATCGCTTGTTCGCTATATCCCATGATTGGACGGCCCAAATCAGCGGCGGCCTCTTGGTGATTTGCTTGCTTGCTCCCTTGAGAAAGCGCATATGAAAGAGACATCGTGGCCACGGATGGTATCACACACACACACACACTTTTTCTCTGTTATGTTTTCCATGTTAGTATTTGGCCCAATCCTATATGTATATTCAAATCCGACCGATTATCTGCAGTATCCCATAATCGGACGGCCCAGAATAGCGGCGTCCTCCGGCGTGTTTTGTTGCTTGCTCACTTGGAGAAGCACACAAGAAAGAAACACCGCGGCCACGGATGGTATCACACACACATACTCTGTTTTCCCATCGCCTCGCCAGGTCTGATTCGTATTCACTCCTTCCTCTACGAAATACTCGCCGATTGCATGACCTAGATCGCCGACGGTGGGCCGTGTCGGTCCACTGCCCCGCCATGTCCGAACCCGACATAACCCCGCACATACATCCAGATCCAACCGCTTATCCATCTCATCCCCCGACCGAACGGTTCTGATCATCGGCGGTGGCAAATGTCTCGCTTGCACGCTTGGAGAAGCACGAGAAGACGCACGCCGCAGCCACAGATGGCATCACAGCACACACATTATGTTGCTATTATGTTGTGTTCTGCCACGTCGATATCCGATCTAATCCTCACATGTACATTCAAATCAGACCGCTTATCCGCTGCATCCCACGATCGGACGGTCCAGATCAGCAGCGTCCTCCGGTATGTTTGCTTGTCTACTCATCACTTGGGGAAGCACACAAGAGAAAGAGAAAGAAACACAAACACAACACGCACTCTCTGTTGCGTTTTCCCATCCATCGCGCTCCCCTCCTTCGCTCGCTCCCCCCGCTCCGCTGCCTAGGGTTTGCGCCGAGCAGATCCGGCCGGCGGCGCCGCCGCCGGACGAGCTGACCGGCCCCGCACGGGGCCGCAGCCCGACCGCCCCGACACCGGCCGCGATCCGATCCGTGAGCGCCTCCCTTCCATTTCCCCAAACTCCGTTTCCCCAAACTTCCTCCCTCCCCGATCTAATCCATCCTCCGTCGCCGAATCCAGCGCTGCCGCCGAGGGAGGATGTCTCCACCGCCGGCGTCACCCGCGCTGTCGGCGCAGAAGCTGACGACCAACGACGCCCTGGCCTACCTCAAGGCCGTCAAGGACAAGTTCCACGACAACCGCGCCAAGTACGACGAGTTCCTCGAGGTCATGCGCGACTTCAAGAGCGCCAGGTCTGTATCCCTCCGTCCCCATCTCCCTCCCCGCATCTCAATCGCTCCATTCCGGTGGGGATTCCGGCCGGGATTCGGGTTTCGCCCGCCGGAACGGGAAACCGAAGGAAACATGTTGGCCGATTTAAGTTTGTTTTCCCCTTTGCCTTTGTGATGATGGTGGCAGGATCGACACCGCGGGCGTCATCATCCGGGTGAAGACGCTCTTCAGCGGCTACCCGGAGCTCATCCTCGGCTTCAACGCCTTCCTGCCCAAGGGCTTCGCCATCAAGCTGCAGGACATCGACGGCACCGGCGACAAGAAGCAGCCCGTCGACTTCATGGAGGCCATCAACTTCGTCAACAAGATCAAGGCCAGGTTCCAGGCCCAGGACCACGTCTACAAGGCATTCCTCGCCATCCTCAACATGTACCGCATGCACAACAAGTCCATCCAGGACGTATACCAGGAGGTACCTCATCTTCTTCTTCTTCTCCTTTTACCTGTAGAAAGAAAATCATTTCCTGATTTATCTAGATATGTGGTGCTTGTGTGCATATGATGCTAACACGGATGGGATTGATCTAGGTTGCCACGCTGTTCCACGACCACCCCGACCTGCTCGAGGAGTTCAAGCATTTCTTGCCTGATACGTCCAACGCTCCGCAAGTGCTGGCCGCTCCTAAAGCCGTCTCCGCCAAACAGGAAGCCCCGGCCGTGCCTTCTGCCAGTGCCAGGAATGTGCAGAGCATCAAGGTAAATATGGACATGGACCACTGATATGGTTTCCTGTCTTCATTTCTGTATTTTTATAGTTAGTGCATAGCAGGGACAATTTCTTTTCCTTGTATGTGAACCAGCAACATTTACTCTATTGAAATTAATGAAATGTACCGATGATGGAGTTGAGTTCTTACATTGGCTTTTGGATCACTGTGTATTACTCCCTCCGTTCCAAATTACTTGACCCATATTTATCTAGACACGAATGTATCTAGACACTAAACAAGTATAGATACGTCCGTATTTAGACAAATTCAAGTCAACTAATTTGGAACAGAGGGAGTAGTTGGCATTGGCTCCTCCATGGCTTGACTTGACAGTTGTAGATGTAAAATAATCCGGCATATACATTTGGACTTCAATGCTGTAATACTCCCTCCGTCCCAAAATAAGTGTCTCAACTTTGACACTTACTTTGGGACTGAGGGAGTCCTTCACTGGCCACAGAACTTCTATGCTGACCTTTTGTTTTCTCCATCTCCAGAGAGAGAGGCCTCAGCCATCAACTGCTGAGCGTGACAGCAGTGTTGATCGCCCTGATCTCGAGCATGACCCTGACAGAAAGCGTGTCGACAAGGAAAAGGATCGTAAGATCGACCGGGACAGAAAAGATCATGACAAGGATGCTGAGTTTGAAAGCAAAGATTTGGACGGAGGGCTACGCAAGCGCAAAGCTTTCTCAAAGAAGCTGGAGGGTGACACACACCAAGGGGCGGCAAGCATCTCTGCTTCGTCGTACAATGATAATGATGCACTGAAAAGTGAGTCCCTGACCATGTTGATAATAGGACTGAGATGTCTTTTCGTGTGGATACTTGTGCAGCATGGCATCATCAGTGCCTTGTAGATCTCCAGTTTCTATTAATTTTAGAATTTATCAGTGACTTGCGTATGGCCCTGTTAGCTTCAGAATTTATCTTGTGCTTTTATTCAGCTTAGCATACAGCCTCGATATCCACTTTAATAATGCCCTACACAGTCCTTCCTCTTGGATTTATAGATTCATTTCTATCATTCAAAATCAGGTACATACACCCAAGAGTTCCTTTTCTGTGAGAAAGTCAAGGAGAAGCTAGAGCCTGAAGCTTACCAGGAGTTTTTGAAATGCCTTCACATATACAGCCAGGAAATAATTACAAGAAGTGAATTGAAAAATCTGGTAAGTTAGACCGATTTGTTATAAAGATAAATTATGAATCTTAGCTAATGATATCTGTAAAGAGTTTGTGAGATACCCTACCCAACCACTAGATAAACCTACTGTTGTGTTTCTGAACATGGATAGCCTTGCTTATTTTCAGGTACATGACATACTTCAGCGCTACCCAGAGCTTATGACTGGATTTAGCGAGTTCTTGGAACATTGTGAAAACATAGGTAGACCACATATATTTATTCACTTGTGAATTTATGTTTGCTGAATGCACTTTCTGTTTTATTATGTTCTCCCCCATTTCTAAAGAGTTCCTTTACTCTGTAGATGGTTTTCTGGATGGAGTCATCAATAAAAGTAAGCGATCCCTTACCCTGTAGTTTAAAGTTTCATTGCTTCTACTCTTTATAGGGATTCTTTATAGTAGTTCTTTTTTTAAATGAAGGGCAAACATCACGAACAGTCAAGGCATTGGAAAAAGAGAGAGATAAAGGGCGTGCAGGGGAGGATAGGGAAAGAGATGCTGAAAAACTGAGCGAAAAGGAACGAGAAAAGCTTGATAAAGTGTCTGCGCTCAATTCTAAGGAAGCCACTACCCACAAAGCTGCTGCGTTCTCTTCTACCAAAGAGAAGTACCTATGCAAGCCAATATCAGAGCTTGACCTCTCAAACTGTCAGCGGTGCACTCCCAGTTACCGACTTTTGCCTAAAAATGTAAGCTGGTTCAACTCAATGTACTATCGTCTTTTTTTACTCCCTGTCATTTCTGTCTGACAATTCTTTCCACAATATCTCACACTTCCTTTCTTTTTGCAGTACCCCGTCCCTGCTTCAAGTTGCAGAACTGACCTTGGAATCTCTGTGCTCAATGATCACTGGGTATCAGTTACCTCAGGAAGCGAGGATTATTCATTTAAACACATGCGGAAGAATCAGTATGAAGAAAGCTTGTTTAGATGCGAAGATGACAGGTTCTGTAATATGTTTCATACTTCGATTGCATCTTACTGTGGGCACCAGCAAAGCATACAATAGTACATATTAGCAAAGTGCCCAATTTATAGTTTCACAATCCATTTGTTTTCTTTTATAATAACATGCTTCTCGTTTCATTAGGAAAATCAAAGCGGCACTTGAACAACGTAACTCTGCAATAAATGAAAATAACTTACATCGTTGCCCTTCTTAGCCCTTGAGTGCATCAACAGGAAAAAAGGACCCACCCTACCAGCAACTCTAGGACCATAACCTTAGACTGGGTACAATCTTGTTCAGTTCAGCAAAACTTTCATGCATCTTCATTTCCTTACCAAGCATCCAACATTAACTGTTGCTGCACCATCATGATGCTTGGTGCCATCTGTTCTCCAAATGGCAAACCACAGGAGCCCCCATCCTTTTGCCCTGTATAGACTCCATTGGAACCCCATTGAAGAATTCGGTTCCGGTTCTCTTTTGTTTTCATGTTAGCCCAAAGGTTAATCTAGTGATGCATGACTACAACTGTCAACTCTCTGGAATCATGATGCACTTAACTTTGAAAATAGACATTAATAACAGCAGCAACAACAAAGCCTTTCTGTCCCAAACAAGTTGGGTAGGCTAGAGTTGAAAACAGGCATTGATCCTTTCTGAATTGTCATGCACCCACAATTCTTAGGAAAATGAAAAGCCACTGACTACAAGAACAGAGTCCATCACAGTAGGAAGTTAGAAAGTACAATTGTCCACAGCCCAAATATGTATAGCCGTAGAATACTGAAGAAATAACTGATCGACAGTAACCATAAAGCAAGAAAAGACATAAAAATACTCTTCCATAATTTGTATGCGTTAGAGATTTCATTTCAATCATAAATAAGATGCTTTTGCTTGACCAGAACCTGTTCTTAATCATAAATAATATGTCCATAACAGTTATATCACACTTTGTGTTTCTTTTTCTGCATTGTGTCACCCATTAACCAGGGTAGCATTGTGTGCACAGCTTATCTTGCCATTTAAGTTGCCCGTGGATGATAATTAATTAGTTACTCTTTGTGAAATGTACTTTTCAGGTTTGAGTTGGACATGCTGCTGGAATCAGTTAATGTGGCGATTAAGCGTGTTGAGGAGTTGATAGAAAAAATGCAAGAAAATTCAATCAAACCAGACAGCCCTATACGCATCGATGAACATTTGACCTGTAAGTATCTGCCAGCATGTATGGTAGTTCTTTGCTGCATGGCTTTTGAGTGCTCTTCTATGGTTGAAAAGAACATGCATATCATTTAACTCTTTGTGCTTTTGACAGCTCTGAATTTGAGGTGCATAGAGCGGTTATATGGTGACCATGGCCTTGATGTCATGGATGTTCTTCGTAAAAATGCGAGTGTGGCATTACCAGTTATTTTAACTAGGCTTAAGCAAAAGCAGGAGGAATGGTCAAGGTGCAGGTCAGATTTTAACAAGGTTTGGGCTGAAATATATGCCAAGAATTATCACAAGTCCCTTGACCATCGCAGTTTCTATTTCAAACAACAAGATTCGAAGAATCTGAGCACAAGAGGTATGCATTTATGATACTGCAACTGAAATCATCAGGCTGGGTCACAATGGGAGTACGATAGGTAGTATCATGCATGCCAACTATGCATTTTAGCTTATGTGGCACACAATTAAATGAGGAAGGAGAGGGTTGATACCATACTATGATACCGTATTGTATTAAATGATGTACTAGTGTGTGTCTTGCATGGCAATAAATGAGACTGCTATGAACCAAGTTATGATACTATGATACCAAGTTATGATACTGTGATACCAAGTCTTGCATGGCAATAAATGAGGCTACTATGATACCAAGTTATGATACTATGTATTGTGGAGGTAGTATCATACACTAGTATCATATGCATGATGCTAGTATATGATACTTCCCATTGCTTCAAAGCTGTATTTTTTAAACTACCCCCTCCCCCCATGTGCAGCTCTATTGTCTGAGATCAAAGAAATTAATGAGAAGAAAAGGAAGGAGGATGATGTGCTTCTTGCCATTGCTGCTGGGAATAGGCGGCCAATAGTGCCCAATATGTCATTTGAGTATGTAGATTCAGAAATTCATGAAGATGTTTATCAGATCATCAAGTACTCTTGTGGAGAGGTCTGCAGCTCTCCAGATCAAGTTGACAAAGTGATGAGAACCTGGACGACATTTGTGGAACCTATTTTGGGAGTTCAACCCCGAACTCCTGCCGTTGAAGATGTAGGTGTGGTAAAATCGAAGAGCCGAACCCCCACGACTGGTCTTGCAAGTGTAGGGGAAAGTAATAATGTAATACCAAACGGCGCAGTCACTGTTAAGCAAGCCAATGGAGATGAAAGCATTCCGAAGGAACAAGCACAATCTTCTCGTGGTTTATTGGCGAATGGAGTTTCAGAAGATGCTCAAAATGGTTTCCATGATGCTGATCGAACTGTCCGCAGAGGTGAGGGGCCATCTAACACTTCATTACATCAGACAGAACAGAATCAGCGGAGAACAAATATGGAGCTTACATCAGGTTTGTGCTGTCCTCTGTTAAATATGTGAGGGTGCCTTTTAAGTTACATTTTAGCGTAGCTAATTTGTTACGACTGTCTTAGCCAATTCTAATTGGTTTAATTTGCCTTTCAGGTACTAATTCTTCTAGAGGTAATTTCTCTGGAAGTGAGGCTGTTGTTGAAGCTATGGGTGGCAATGAAACAATTCCATCTATAGGGGTATGATCATTCTTAAACTGGGTTTACTTACTAGTAATTGTTATGCTTGTATGTTCGCTTTCATGCCTTTAGTTACATTGTGTCTTTTAGTTTATTCGTATTGGTGGCAATGTTGTTGATGCCAAGTGTAATCGTACATTGTCGACTAAAAACCATGAAATTAGTAAGAACCTGTCTAGTTTTACATGTGCGATGTGATATGAGCACAACCTCGAACGGCCGCTGATTTGTCTTCCACAAACCGATGTCTTTTACAATGCAACATCCTCCGAAATCCACCATTAAAATCTCCCAATTACGCGAGCAGCACACGTAACCTGAAGATGGGGTAACGACAACCAACAAGAAATCCCTCGACCTATGTTTTTGAGGTGTCCTGCCTTAGACGCTTAGGTGGCACTTAGGCGATAAGGCGCCCGGACAGCGCCTTACAAATATGCCCGCCTTAGGCGTCCGCCTTAGTCGCTTAGGCGCCACCTAGGCGCTAGAGCGGGTGGTGCTCGCCTTAGGTCCGCCTTATAAACAATGCCCTCGACACACGAGGTATCTCCCGCCATAGTAGAACGTAACCAGCATGCAACCCGCCGGTGATGGACCTCGATCCAATAGCTACAAACCTCTTGATGTACGCATGAGAATCATCTCGCCAAAGTAAAATCTTGAATTAGAAAGTTCCACAAAGATAGATAAATTGGACACCCAGAGGGCCGCTTCATTGTGGATGTCTAAAGCTCAAAATTCAATCTAACTATAGCCAGCCCGTTTTATAGGTGACACACCTGGTCGTTCCAAACCGAGTCACGAGTCCCAAGCAAACACGTAAACAAACCTGATATAGACTCCTATTCAAACTAACAAAAGATTTTCCTAAAAAATTATGCGGCTACCTTGATCACTAGCAACCGAATTAGACTTAGTACGTGACAAAGGACTATGGAACGATGCAAAGGAAGAAAACATAACGTAGCTAGCTTTCCTTATTTCTTGCCATGTATTTGAACACAACCTGTTTGGGGGAGTCCTGAATTTTGGTCTGATCTCCTTTTGTGGTGGAGGCATTTGGAGCAACATATAACCAACTAAAACCAATGTTCAAAAAAGCGGATAGCGTAAGCGAAGCGGAAGGCCACGGCTTAGAGCAATGAACGCTTTAGCGCAGCTTAACTGCGCTTAAGCGTTTTTGAAATTGGCTAGAATTTGACAGAAGCACAGGAAAATAGGGAACATGGCACATGGGTAATTGAATAGCATCTAAAATACAGTTCACACCATAGCGAATACACATCAGGTTCACATGGCAAGCAAAGGGCAGCCCGGTGCATATAGCTCCCGCTTGCGTAGGGTCCGGGGAAGGGTCCGGCCACTTTGGGTGTATTGTACGCAGCCTTTCCCTACATTTCTGCAAGAGGCTGTTTCCAGGACTCGAACCCGTGACCTCTTGGTCACAAGGCAACAGCTTCACCGCTGCGCCAAGGCTCCCTTCCTCACATGGCAAGCAAAATAACAACTAAAATGCAGTTTAGTTCAAATAGTCATAACCTAATAGAGATCATGTGGCCAGAATTTTGCCAGAATATGAAGGAAGTTCCCATACAGAGCCTAATAATAAGATAAATGGCATATTGCCATAATTGCGCACGCAGACAAGCAAAAGTAGTTCAAAAACAGCCAAATTTTTAAAAGAACGTTTAATATACCGCTTAGGGCAAAAGCGAAGCGGTTTGCCATTGCTCAGTGCTTAAGCACGCTTTCCTGAACAGACTAAAACTTGTCGCATTAAATTACCGTGGTCAAAGTCCCTTTCCTTTTGTGTAGCACATGAAATAGCTTGAAGTATTTTTGGACGTGAAAGAATAGCTTTGGCACCGATGGTCGGGTTGCTATCTCGCACGTTCGTTCTACCGCTCGCTGAGTGTTGTTTCCCCTTTTGGCAAATCAGAACGAGAGAGCCTCACTGGTCCCCACCGGTTAAATTCAGGGGGGGGGGGATTAGGAGGATGTGGTGGGCCAGTGTTGCTTACATGCGGTAAATTAACAGGGAGGGATTGAGAATAGTGGAGGTGGTGGGCCCATGAGTTTGCATGCGAGCGCAAGGGATACAAGCTAGTGGGGCCAGGTGGTACATGGGACAGCTAGCCTCCCGTGCATGCCTCCTGGTGTTTACTAGCTGGTTACGCGGTGGGCCTCTCCCATGAAAGGAAACTGAAAGGAGACAGGGCGCTCTGGGCGCTGTCCGAGCCGGCGTTGCAACGCCCACGTGCGAAGGAGCAATTTCGGATGGTCACATCACCATGCATATGCCCCTTATCCTAAAATAGATTTCAAGAAACTTATGCTTTGCTTATGTTAATTTGTATTCTTTTTTCACAGAGAGGAGAAGCTGGGAGGCCAGGATCTGTGCCTCAGAAGAATTCAAAGGTTGAAAGAGAAGAGGGAGAATTATCTCCTAATGGGGATTTTGAAGAGGAGAATTTTGGGCCTCTAGGAAATGCAGCTGTAGACGGAGCTTCGAAGCCGAAAGAAGTTTCTGCTGGTAGAACTAGAGCAGCTGAGTTTGCTGGAGAGAATGATGCTGATGCGGATGATGAAGGTGACGAAAGTGCCCAGAGATCTACAGAAAGTGAAAATGCATCTGAGGCTGGCGAGGACGCTTCTGGTAGTGAATCTGGTGACGGCGAGGAGTGTTCTCGGGAAGACAACGAGGACGAGGAGGATGCTGATCATGATGATCCTGATGCTAAGGTTGAAAGTGAGGGTGAGGCAGAGGGAAACACAGGCGCACATGATGCCGATGGAGGGATGTCACTACCCTTTTCAGAGCGTTTGCATAATACAGTTAGACCACTCGCCAAGCATGTCCCCACAGCATTGCAGGATCATGGTGGGAAATTTTCACGCATATTTTATGGAAATGATTCATTTTATGTTCTGTTCAGGCTACACCAGGTTAGTTGTTTGAATACATACATGCCTATATAGTCAACACCCCTTTTGACATGTTCTTTGTCTATATAGCCAACACCCCTTGGCTAACTTGCACTGATCTGCAGATCTTATACGAGAGGCTATTATCAGCCAAGACAAACTCTTCTACAGCTGAAAAGAAGTGGAGAACTTCCAAGGATACGAGCTCCCCACACCAATACTCAAAGTAACATTGCATAGCTACTCTGCTCCATTGGGATGTTTCACCGTGATGGATAACTAATGTGCTGTTAGTGCAGGTTTATGGGTGCACTTTATAACTTGATTGATGGCTCTTCTGACAACACCAAATTCGAGGACGACTGCCGTTCAATCATCGGGACTCAGTCCTATGTTCTTTTTACATTAGATAAGCTGATATACAAAGTTGTGAAGCAGGCAAGTTGCCTTAATGATTGCATCTATTATATTGGAAACATAGTTCTGTTATATTAGGAAGTGCTTACAGTATCATTTTCATGTCTGTCTTCAGCTTCAAGCAATAGCAGCTGATGAAATGGATAACAAGCTCCTCCAGCTTTATATATATGAGAAGTCCAGGTCTCCTGGAAGGTTCTTTGATCTAGTTTACCATGAAAATGCTCGGGTTCTTCTCCATGACGAGAGCATATATCGATTTGAACGGGTTAGTTTCTTTACAACACATTCATGTTTCAGTGATTTGCGTAGTTACTTTCATTTTGCTGTGCCGTGTTACCAGGCAATGTTTCTCTTAAGAAACCTCCTTTCTATACAAACTTGCTCACTAATCAGCCGGATAAATCCCCCAAAAATTCGAGTAACACCTTGAGAGGGGCAGGGGCTTCCTGCATTTCATATAGCAGAAGAGAATTGCCTGGTTAATTGGGAAAAACCGGGCAAAAACCAGATAATTCCCAATTTGTGAGAGAGGCTGTGACACTTTTCAGACACCTGATGTTCAGCCCCTTGATAATAAATCATGTCAACTGTTAGATGTTTGTTTATATAATGAAGTTTTCCAGGGTCAACAGATAGAGGGATACATCTGCAGAGGATTATTCGTGTTGTACCAAACCACTCACTCACTCTTCCTGCTGTAATTTGCAGCGCTCAAATCCTACGAGATTATCTGTTCAGCTCATGGAGTATGGGCATGAAAAGCCTGAAGTAACTGCAGTCTCAATTGATCCAAACTTTTCGTCATATCTTCATGACGAGTACTTGTCGAGTATTTCGGATTCAAAGGTGTCTGAAGATGTGTTCCTTGAGAGGTGAGTATTTTTCTGGCATCGCACCGTGGCTCTCATGATCTTCATCTTGTTCTTTTCATGGGTTAACCTCATCTCATTTTCCCCAGGAATAAGCGGAAACGCGGGAGCAGCAATGGTCCTCAAGCTTCCTTAGCGGTCATGGATGGTTTCAAGGTCGCGAATGGCCTTGAATGCAAGATAACCTGCAAATCCTCAAAGGTAATATACGTATATCTTGGTGGGAAGGAGCATTGTGCCCGCCAGTACCATAGTGATGTGACATTGAATCTACTTCGTTTATACCACCGAAAGAAACTCTTGGCTGATGGTGATGCTGCTTTGGCCATTGGCCATGTGACATATTTTGCTACATTTTTACTAATTAGTCAAGTATGGTGTCATATTTGCAGGTTTCATATGTCCTTGATACAGAAGACTTTTTATTCCGTATGAGGAACAGGAGGAGAATCTCATCTGGTGCAACCGCCGCACCTGGCAAGGCCGATTTTGTCAAGGCAGCTGATGTCGTGAAAGCACAGCGGTTTCATAAATTTCTTCTTTCTAGGTCCTAGGGCCATGCTGGCAGATTCTGGTAATTTGTCTAGCTTACAGTGACATATGCATTGTTAAACACACACACACACACACACACACACCTAGATTATCGTCTACCAGATCTAATCCAGAGCCCTTGATGTTTTCTCTCTTGTTTGCAGCCATGGTATCATCTAATCCAGAGACGACGCCGACGTGCTTTCAACAAATGTGGTGGGTGGGAAGCTAAAGCTGCTTTCCAACCTTTTTGTGCCGAGAGGGACCGCTGGAGCTGGTAAATACCAACCAACCAAAGCATGTAGGCAGTCTTCTTGTTAAGTTGTTACCCGATGGGATGCGATGTCGCTGCTGCTGCTGGGAATGTGTATATTATTAATGTTATGTATACCCAGAAGAGAATGTGACGTCGTGTTATCCATGAGGGAGGGAGGTTATTGTTATTAATCTTGCCGGTGGTCTGATCAACTGATCATTGTTAGTTGTTACTGTCCATATGTTTTTTGTTTGTTGTTGTCCTGTCTCGCTGTTACATTTGCTCTCGTGGTGAAGCAAATGCAGACTTGATTCAAATCTGGACATTGCTATATTTGTTGGTGATGCCAGCCATCTGTGTTAATTGGATTGCGTTCCTAGTGGTTCTGGATCGTCATATGATTAATTTTGCTGTAACTTTGATCATCAATTCATACACGATATTTACTTGCAATAGATCATCAAAGCAAAATATATCTTTCCATCCATCCATCAAGCAATCAGCTTCTGAGGGAACAATTTTGGATTCAGTTTCAGTTTCGGCCCTGAGAGGAAAAATGCGGGTGGGCATTTTTGCCATTTCATACTTGTAGCTGCAGGAATACGGTTGGTGGCAACTATGTCCCTTTTGTGAGATTGTGTCTTTCTCTTAGTAAACTGTGCATATCATTAATCGACAATTAAACACACGTGGCAACAACTAAAGAAACTAGGAGCTGACAGATGACCTGAAAACTAACAGCAAAGTGGAGGAGATTGACCATAGTTTAATCTCTCTAGCAGATCAGGCCAATGTAGTACTAGTACAAGTGGAATTTGATTAACATTTAAAGTTGGACCAAAAAAACCCATCCCCTCCTGCGTCGCCCTCGTCCCCACCCTCCACTCCCATCCTCCTAGAGGGCGTGGCTGTGCGAAACCCGACCGGCGGCAGCGGGGATTTTTGGCATTCTCTCGCAAGGCTATAAGTGGAAGGAGTGCCTTCTACTTGTCATGCTGGGGGTGGTGTGTCGTGAGGTGGTTGGGTGGCGGTGTCTGGGGCAGCGATGCCGGGACGACAACCCCAGACAGTGGTCCACACGGTTGGCTCTCCGACCGACATCATAGCGGCAGTGGTGGCTTACACTCTTGGTTGTGTGGGCGGCGAGGGTGGCTCAAGCACGTTCTATGTCGTTGAGAAAATGTTCATGAATTTTAAAAAATATGGAATTGAAAAAGATATTTGCAGATTTTAAAATTGATAGCAATTTCCATAAATTTTCGCAAATTTTTTAAAAATTGCTAATTCCGAAAATGTTCATGAATTTTAAAAAGTAATCTCGAATTCCATAAATCTTCAAACTTTGAAAAATGTACAATAGTTCAAAATATGTTCAAAGAATTAACTTTTTTCTTGATTTCAAAAGATGATTATTAATTAAAAAATCTGAAAATTTGGACAAATATTCATAATTTCAAAAAACAAGTTTGAGAATTCAAAATTGTTCGTGAATTCAAAAATTGTTCGAGAATACAAAAAGAGAAAAATATTTACAAATATGAGACATTGTTCATGAAATTGAAAAATCTTCACAATTTTTTAAAATGAAAGTATAATTGTAAGTTAAAAAAATCATCAACTTGAAAAGGTATTCATGAATTAGAAAATTTTAAAAAGAAAGAAAACGAAAAAGTGAATATGAAAAAAGATACCAAACTAAAAAAACCCGAAAGAAAACACTAAAAAAACCGATGGTATGGTTCTATATAACCTTTCCAAAAAAACGATGGTTTGCGTTACCAGGCTAACCGTCGACCTCCGCGGGAAATAGGCTCGCTGCCAACCCGCGTCCATAAAGGAAAATTCTATATGACGCACGTCAAACTGTCGAGGGTTCGCACAGGATTCGGAGCAAGCGACGCGATCTGGGCCAGCCCGTTAGCGGTTTCTGTAGCTATGGTTTTCTCCGGTTTTTCTTTTTTCCTGTCATTTTTTGTGGCTAGTTTTCATTCAGTTTTTTTCATTTTTCTTTTCTGTTTCTTTTTTCTTTTCATTTTCGTTTTTATCTTCTCTGTTTCTTTCTTCTTTCTTAGTTTCTTTCCTTTTTCTGTTTCTTTTTTCAAAAATCTGCAAAGTTGAAAAACATAGAGAATTCAAAATTGTTTGAAAAATCGAAATATGTTTGGGGTTTTAAAAAAATTATGTTTTCAAAAGAAGTTCACAAATTTGAAAAAGTGTTTGTGTTTCAAAAAATGTCCTCCAATTAAAAAAATGTTTGTGTTTTAAAATGTTTATAAACTTGAATTTTTTCAGATTTTCAAAAAATGTTCGCATTTAAACAATATTCATAAATTTCAAAAAATAAGCACAATGTGCCAGGATTCAAAAAATATACGTTTTATTTTATTTTTTGGATATGGGGATGCCAAATGATACTTATGAATTTATATATATATACGTGTTATATGAACTTGTGGATATTTGGATATCATATAAACTCCTGGTTTCTCCAGTTAAAAAATAAAATAAAAAGTTTGTCGAGCTCCAAACTCGGCAACGGTATCAAGTGGCACCACCTTTGTGGCTCCTGTCTTTCTCAAGTTAAAAATAAAATAAAAAGTTTGCCGAGCTCTGAACTCGGCATAAGGAGTCATGTTGGTGATTTCTGCTGGAAATGTTTGTCGTGCTCCTCAGCGGAGTCAATTGCAAGAAACCACCACATTTGTGGCTAGGTTTGCAGGAAACTACCAGTCGTTAATCTGTTGCAAAAAACACCATAAAATCTCTTAACCCGTTGCAAAAAGCACTGAACAGCCGTTTAGCCTCGTTTGATCTCTTTTCCGACAGGTGGGCCCCGAAAACGCTGACGTGGCATGACGGACAGGCAAACGGTGCCGTTAGGAACAAAACGCTCAAGACGCCGCGTCGGTCGGTCCTTGTCAGACAGTCCCCCCCGCGCCCCTGTCCTCTCTCTCGCCCCGCTCCCCTCTCCTCTCACGCCCCTGCTCGCTGCCGGTGATGGCCACCTCGCGTGGCGGTGATGATGGCGGTGGCGGTGGTGCTGGCGATGCATCTGGTGGCAGTGGTGCTCCTGCAGATCCAACAGAGGTTTGCGGCAGTTCAAACCCATCTCAGGCTCCGCCTCTTCCACAGCCGCCGTCGCCGTCTTACTGTGTTGAGTATGCGCCGGCGAGGGCGTTCGCCAAGGCCGTGAAGGAAGATCCAGAGGGGAGCCATCACTACGCATCCTCCTTCGGCGGTGTCTCGTAAGTTTTCTCTTTCCGTACCCGGATTTGGTTTCTAGGGTTAGGGTTCTAAGTGTTTGTGATTCTAGTGTTATAGGATTATTGTTGTAGGTTGTTTATGTGGTCAGACATGTAAGTGAAGTGTTTATGTAGTTCTAGGGTTCTAAGTGTATGTAGTAGGCACCTAAACATTAACTGAAATTACTGAATGTTAAACTCAATTTGAACCTACTCAATTACATGAAATTACTGAATGTTAAACTCAATTTCAACCTACTCAATTACTGAATTTACAACTGAATATTTAAATGAAAATGTTACTGAATTTATAACTGAATCCTGTACTGAATTGTTAAGTGAACAAATTACTTTAACTGTATTTTGGACTGAAACTTTAACTGAAACTGTAATTTTAACTTAAACTGTATTTTTAACTGAAACTTAGTCAAATCTTTAAGTGAAACATTAACTGAATTGTTTGTACTAACATAATATATAACTGAATATTTAACTTTTAACTGAATTTTTAACTGAAACTATAATTTTAACTTAAACTATATTTTTAACTGAAACTTTAGTTAAATCTTTACATTAACTGAGTTGTTTGTACTAACTAAATATATAACCGAATCTTCAACTTTTAACTGAATTTTTAACTGAAACTGTAATTTTAATTAAACTATATTTTTAACTGAAACTTTAGTTAAATCTTTAAGTGAAACATTAACTGAATTGTTTCTACTAATTGAATATATAACTGAATCTTTAACTTTTAACTAAATTTTTAACTGAAACTATATTTTTAACTGAATCTTTAACTTTTAACTGAATTGTTTACTTGAACTGAATTGCTTTACTTGAACTGTAGATTGAATGATGAAGTGTGGGAAGTCAGATTCCATTTCCATGACAGAGATAATCTTGAAAGAAGCCTAAATGTGGATGATATCACATTTTACAATCTGATTGCACTAATAGAGCTTGAAGGTTATGGGATGACAGACTTTATGTATTATTTCAGAGATCCAGGTGTTGGGGTTTCAGGTATGGAAGAATTGACAGATGATGATAAGGTGGAGGAAATGTTGGATGACCTAGTTATCAAAGGTCAGAAGGCGGTGAACATAACAGTCATCAGAAGTGTTGCTCCAAGACCTAGTGATTTGAACATTGGACCAGTTTGTGAGGAGCAGGTTCCATTATCTGAAATAGGTGTGCCAGTGGTGTATGAGATAGATACATCAGGAGTACTGTTTCCTAGCCCAACAAAGCCACAACCAATGCTAGTGCAGGTCATTAACACATAAGAGAGTTCATTTTTGAAGCAGAAGTGTGCACCAGTACCAGAATTTGCAATGGAGATTGGTGAAGAGAGGCATGAGTATTTCATGGAGCAAGACCAAGATCAAGAGAAAATTGAGCAACTAATGGAGCAGAAGAGGAATGAAGAGATTGAGAAGTTCAGGAAAAAGGGGAAAGAAAAAGAGAAATACAAGCCAGCTAAAAGAAAACTTCCAGAGCTAATGGCTGAAGATTTCAC